TTCCACAAACATATTGTAATCTATGGCATAATATATTATGGAATTCAGAAATAAACCAGACAATCCTCGAAATTTATAAATAAAACAATGTGGAAATTGATCGAAATGTTTAATATAAATGAGTGAAGAGGGTCATATTCGATCAAGACGGATCTTGGTGTCTAGTAAAATGTGCAAATTTTTACAATTTCTAGTCCAAACAAACTGCGTGTCTATTTATCGGTCTTATGCTCATTTTTAATAATATAAATTAACTTCAATTACGGTTAAACTTACTCTTCATTTTTTTTTAATTCTTAAAACTAGACAAAGATGATAAAAGTTAGATAAAATGAAATTAAAATTAAACTATCATTGATAGAAATAGGTATTAAGCTGAAGCTGGAATATGGCCCCCTTCCCTGAATTTGTTGTTACTATAATAATAAAACATCTAGGAGAAACAAATTTACTGATTAATAAACATGAATGACATCATGGGATTTAAACTAGATTGTCCGGTTGGGTGAACATTTTTCAAAATAACAAATGTTTTTTAATAAACTATTATTCAGATCAACATTTTAAATTTAAGAATGAATTTTTTTATTTATGAAACTGTTACTGTGTTAAGTTTTCCTAATTAAATAATCCAAAAAATTTTCCTAATTAGATCTAATTTAATATTTAAAAGTTTAATCTTGATTACTTGGGCTCACCTGCCGGTAAGACGAAAGTGACAGGTATGAAATCGAGATACATATATTTGCCTGGACCCTCCGCGCGTTCTGCCAATGGATTTCCTTCTCTTTCCAAGTCCTTTCGGTATCGCTTAATGTTTTTTACCAGCAAATCCTTGCGTGTGAGTTCATAGTGATTTGGGAAGTGATTAATGATTCTAATAAATAAACTTTATATGTATCATATATATATATTAATTTTTTAAATTAGATATACAGTGGAGAAAAAATAAAAGTAAATATAGTCGTCAAAACGATATGGAATCATATTTATAGTTTAAACGTCGATCTATTATAAATATAGGTCAATATATAGAACTGCTCTATATAGCTTAATATAAATATAAGTAGTTAATAATATAAAAGTTTGTTTTGTCTTACTGATTATCATCCATCCTGTATCCAGTTTCAACGCTGAAGATATTCCTGCAGGATTGCGTAACAGCCCTGTGTAATAAATAATAGAGAACGTCATAATAAATTCTTAAATATTGTACAAATCTGGTGTTGTAATTCATGATTACCAATAAAAATTCCAATCATCCTCCGGACCAACCTGCGTCCAACCGCGTTTTTCAAAGTTGTGCACGATCACAGATTTGTCTACATCTGTGCAAAAAGTAATTCTTGTCCGATCCATCCCGACCGATGGCACTCTATGGTCATGTAATTATAATTGTTTAATCATGATTGTGAAAGCGTTAATTAGCGCTAATATTTTAATGTCGCTCAAATTATTATTTCCTAATTATTTTACATAAGTATCTCAAAATCGATTAATAAAGCTACTATATTTACGCAAATTAAGGTTAAGATCTGAAATTTTCAAATTGTCTTAAAATAAAATGTTTATAAAATAATATAATAATTTTAATAATAAGTTAATTATTTATAAGATAAAATATAAAACTTTTAAACAAAAATTTCAAGATAAATAAGACAATAAAATGTATTTTTTTATTCATCATTCTTTCTGAAATAATAAATTTCGCATTAGAAAGCTACAAAAAATTTGCGAAAATTTCTGAAAAAAAATAGATTCATTTTATTATTTCCTTCTCTCATATTAATGCAGAAATAAATTTGGCATTAAGTAAAAAAATAAACACATGTAATAAATAAATATAATAATAATAAAAAGAAATAATTAAAAAAATATATATTTTAAAAAGTTATATATAAATATGTAATAGATTCGAACAATCTCAATTGTTCCCGAATGCGAGTTTAAAATAATTTGATGAGAATGAACTCTTCAAAATTTGCTGAAAAAATTGAGCTTGAGAAGAAATTACCAGAATTTTAAAGCATATTTTTAATTACTATGAGCAGTGGTCTTTTAATCATAACGAGCAGTGTAGTTTTACGAAATTACCGTGAATGTTATTTACCTGCCATAAACGGCACAGGCATTTAGATTCGCAGCCCGTCTGCTTTCTGCAGCCATGTTTTTCGATACTTATGAACCATGTCGTTTGATCAATATGGTCGTTAGTCGATATCTCAGTCGTCAGAAGTTATACAAAGTCGAATCTAAACACACAAATTAAAATAAAATACGATTTTATTATAACGGTAGTTGAGTCTTTGACTTACTGGTTTTTTTATTGATAATCGATTTTACTTATAGAATGTGACATGGGTTGATAAAAGAATGGCTCTCAGGATAATATATATATATATATATATATGCATATTAATTTTTTAATTTAGATATATAGTGGAGAGAAAATAAAAGTAAATATAGTCATCATCAAAACTGGAATGGAATTATAATATTTATAGTTTACATGTCGAGCTATTATAAATATGTACATACGTGTCACATTTGGAAAGAGTACCAAAAAAAATTTGTGTACAATTTAAGTTTAATTTTTTTATCATAGCGTTGTTTCTTGTATAACATCGCGTTTTGTAATACTTGTTTGCACCTCGAATTTCAAACTTCTTTTTATGCCAAATAGTGTGCTATATATGATGTAACATTGATCGTAGAGAAATTTTAAGATAAACATAAGCACGGTTCCGGAGATATGAAGAAATGAAAGTAATGGTTTCTCATAACTCATGAAAAGTACACGAAACTCTTTAAGTATCCATACCAAGAAATAAAATATATATTTAACGAAGTGAAACATATCATTTTTTTATGGATTTTTACGCTGGATTTAAATATAACTTTAGTTTTCGTCTAGCATGAAAGTTCCCTGATAGAGTTGAAGTGACACTTGACGCCCTCCCTTGCCCCTCACTGATTGGGGTGCTTTTTTAATGTCAGTCGCCTTGCCTCACAGATGAATAAAACATCCGCTGTTCTTTTATTATTGTAAACGTTCGTCTCTCTCTCT